TACCTGGAGGACCATCCCCTCAACCAGGTCAACCCGGAAGTCTCATGCAAGGAGGTACGTTCGAGTGAGACGCGATTCGCTCGGTGATCGGGGAAGCAAGAACTTTCGAGTCCGTGACTGTTCTGGTCGGCTACCGGAAAGCCAGCGCGCGCCAACCGAGTATCGCCGGCGGCTTCCGGTTGTTTATCATTCCGCATCGTGCAAATCGATTCCGCCGAATCGCACGCGATTACCGCGCACACGGTTAATCCGGGAGTGCGTGTTCGAGAGGTATCGATGTTCCGTCGATTTATCCGCGAATTAACCAGACGACGCGTACGCGCGTGTCGGCGAGCGTGTCGGCGTGCGTGTGTCGCGTCAATCGGGACGGGATTCCGCGAAACGAGGGTACGAAAAATCCCGCTCCTCGCCGGTCTTATCTTCGCGGCGAGAACGTAATTCACGAATATATCCAGTCGAGAGATATAAATCAATTAGAGAGATCGGATCGCACCGCCAGTGGCACGCAGAACCGTTCGACAACCTCACCGATACACGCGTGTATCCCGGCCTCGGTCTCGAGATACCACTGCCACGATGAATTATCACCGCGCGGCTCTTTCCGAGACCATCCTCTTACGAAACGATCATTAAGAACCCGTAAAAGCCTCGAATTATACTCGAAAATTTCACCTTCCACTCGGACCTTTCCCGCACAGCCACAAATCAACCCTACCCGTATCTTCCGCTCCATCCAGTCGCATCCCTAAAGACCCAAGAAAAACCTAACCCCTGCTACCCGTCGATCCTCGCGATATTACCTCCCGGACCCGATAAATCAATCCACCCTCCGGCACCCGCCAACCAACCACTCGGATCATCCCCGTAACGCGTCAACGGAACGCTCCGGCGAATCGAAACTCCACCCCCTCGTTCCGTTCCGTTCGAGATAAGTCTATATCTCGAGGATCGATCTCGACCGTTCTCCGTTACGTTTCAGGAGGCGGAAGTTCCGTGTCGGGCAGTCCGACGACGGGCTACCTCGGCGGCATGGGTGGCGGCGCAGGGGGTCACACCCCCGGCAGTTCGAGTCCCGGAAGCGAGATGTCGCCTCAGCACAACGAGAGCCCGCCCGCACCCTCTTGGCCGGGCGAGATGAAGCACCATCCGCATCCGCACGCGCCACCGCACACCCACCACCACCCCCACACGCCCGGACACCATCCACCGCCGCCACCACCGCCGCCGCACCACGCGGGCTACATGCCGCAGTACTCGTGGTACCAAGCGGATACTAATCCCGGACTACTCACGTAAGTGCCACTTCTGCGCTCCGACCGAGCCTCCGCTCGACTAATCGACCACGATACAACGTGTCCGGGAACAGTGTCTCGATCGACGAGTGAGATACGCGTGTTTTACAGGGGTGAATTATGGGTGACGTAGACACGGTTTCCAGGTTCGAGGTTAGGTTCATCGATCCAGTTACGAGGATTCGGGTGTTTTTACTTTTATTCCTCTTGCTCGAGCAGATACTTTCGCAGGGTCGAAATAGGCAGGTTGATGGAGCTTCCAGATCAACCCCTATGCGGATAATCGCATTCTCTGGTTGATTCTTTCCTGAAATTTACGTCGATTCGCATCCTACGGTAGGAGAGAATTTACGATTGATTTGCAATAGCATGCTACTTTTATCGCGTATCGTAGGAACGAGATATTCGGAGTGTCATGAGCGTACGAGAGTAGAGCTAGCGCGAAATATTCGTTAGAGCCGAAGGAGTATAGCAGTACCTAGATACCCGATTATCCAACGACGGTAAATATTTCGGTTATCCACGCGAGAGTTAATGTCGGGTTCTATTTTTACCTACTTATAGATGGTCTTTATCTAGCCTCTATCGCTTCTACACAGCGAAACATGGCGCGTCGATGCAGTTCAGTCCTTAATAATTGAAATTTTCTTTCCCCGCGAGACGACTTTGCCCCGATTCGACAGCTATAGAAGCCGACAATTGCTAGATATAAATTACTCGACGGGAATAAAAAATCGTTGGGATAAAAGAATATTCCGGAATTCTGAACTATCGAATCGCAAGATAACACGGATGATCGAGGAAGAAGCAAAGGCAGAAGTACGAACGGTATCTCGATTACTTTCGAATCGCCATACGTATCAGTCCTATATCATCTAATTTACGAGCTAGAATTGCAACGTGTACGCCCAGATAGAAGATACCTCGATTAAATCGTCCTTCCCTTACCCCGGCAATCGACCGGACCAAAGAAATCTTAGGGAAAACGACACTGTTCTTCCCCCACCCCGTCATTTCCCCATAGATTGGCACGATGGGTTGGGTTCTAATGGCTCGTTCGTCTGTCGTATTTTTCAGGGTGTGGCCGGCGGTTTAACGAAGATGTCCTTCGAGCTGTGTTCAGGAGGAACCGCTTCTTCGTAGCACCGCGGACGTGCCAGCGCCCCTGCCCCAAAGTGTGAATACGTATAGCACCTGTCGCGATGGAATTCGCGTTCGATGTTAATAAATTGTTTCTATTTCTTAACGAGAGCCGCGTGTTCACCGACCGGTTTTGCGGTCGGTATCTACGATGGGCCGTCCGTCGAGGCGACAACTATCGAGGCGTCGCGATCGCGTGTCCCTCTCTCGGGCAGCCATTCGCGATGGAAACGAGCGAGAGGAAGGATCCCGGGAAACCTAGGGTCCCGGGAACGCGGAATTCTCGCGCGAGTCGCTTCGTTACTCGAAAACGTTCGTCGCTGGATCGAGTGATCGCGAGTGGCGATCCGCGAGCCGATCCGTTCGATCCGAATTCGCGTCGACGGTATCGTGGAACGTCCGTCGACGAGGACGAGCGATCCGGTTTCTAAAGGACGAAGGGTGGAAGAGGGACGGCCCTGAGATCGCACGGCAGACAACGGCGCGACGTAAGAATCATCGAATAGATATAATAGCGTCTCCTCGATCGGAGATCGACGGCGGATCATCGTTCTCGTTCGCCTCGCGAGCTTACCGATCTCTTCTTCGTCATCGAATGCGGAACGTGGTATTTCGGCTGGAGGATCGACCGATCTAATCGCGGCTAAGGATCGACCGAATTTCTCGACGATCGCGAAACTGTTACGCACGCGTGGACGAAAGACGATCGTGCCGCTCGTTTGACTCGATTAAACGCGAAGATGGCGAACCTGGCGGCGATGATCCTCTCGGTTCTCGGACGTTTTCGCCACCACCATGGGAGCCGATCTCTCGCGTTCTAAACGGTTCGCCACAACGATTCCTCGGTTTCCCTCGTAAATGTCAATCCGTTGGTCGATGACGTTAGATCGGTCGATCCTTTGTGACAGTTGCCCAACCGAGGCGGCTGACCCACTTCGTGCTCTGGAAGCTGGATCTCGTCGGATGAAACGGCGACAGAGCGAGATGAGAACAGAAAGGCGGAGGAGCAGAGAGGGTAACCGCGAAAGGGGAGGCGAGAGGGAGGAACGGAGAGGAGACGCGGCTGAGGGAAGAGGGAGAACGGGATAGAGATAGAGGGAGAGAGAAACGTTGCACAAACTCGTCGTCGGAGAAACAGTCGTTCCTCAAGGCGGTTGGAAGTAATGAAATCCTAATGACATTTTCGTGAGTCAAACGATCTCGGCAATCACGGTGGCGCGCTGTAATCACCGGTCCCTCCTTTCCGGATGAAGCAACCGAACGGACGGGCGACCCTCCTCCGAAAAGGAGCGGAGGACACCGAGAGATACGCGCGATTTACCACGAAACCCGGGGCCGTGCACAGCCAGTGGAAAAAATCATTATCTCGGTCGACGACGCGGCGGACAGTTCTGACAAGTGCGCGTTCATTAAATTCGCGAGGGAAAGAAAAAGAAAAAGAAAAAGAAAAGGAAGGAAAAGAAAAGGAAAGAAAGGAAAAGAAAAGGGAAGAGAAAGATCGGCGAAAGCACAGGCTGGATGGAGCATCGAGCGGAAACACCTGTCGACGACACTTTCGTCGCGCGATCTCTCCTCGATCTCGCGAGATCTCTTTCTCCTCTTGCTCGTCCGCGAAAAATTCCCTTTCTTCCGACGCGTTCCACCGACGTTCGTCCTTCTCCATCGACATCGCGAGTCACACCGAGAGAACGTTTCCAGGGGTTTTACGCTGTTTTTACCGTTTCCCGTCGGCCATGCTGGGTCACCCTTTGCCATCTTGCCATCTCGCCAGCGATATAGCTAGCTAGCTTTCAAATAGACGCCACGAAACCGCAGGAGAAAGAGAAAAAAGGGGGAAAAAAAGAACGACGCTTGCGGTTTGCGACCAGGGGAAACTGGGAGGGCCGGTGAGCCCCACCGCTGACCCAAATCCTCCGGCGTGTCGGTGCAACAATGGTCGTCTCATGAGAACGCGGTCTCGCACGGTCCCTTTACTTCCTCATTCTGCCTTCTTTTTCACCTCCGCCTCCGGAGATGCCATATCGCCTGGCCGACAACGTCTAGCCGACAACGTCTGACCGGGGTGTCGCGGGACCTCGCCAACGTCGAGGTAACCTGCTCCAAAGTACACCGAGTCCTCTCCAACTTTCCAAATACTCCAAATTTTCCGATATTCCCTTTCATCGTTTGGAGAAGCGAAGAAGAGGCGAGACGGCGTCAGAGACGATGGAGAGGTTGCCTCGGCGAAGTTACGTCTCGCGTTTCCCCGGCGATCCCCGTTAGAACGTTTCCACGAGCACGCTCGAGCTTTCCCATCGTGAAACTCTCGACATGGGAACAGAGTACAAAGCCAGTTTCACGCCGCTGGACATCTGGAGCCATCGCGTGTTACCTCGAAATCCGCGAGAAAGAACTAGCCTAGTGCGGCGGACTGGGAGCGGAGAAGAGAACGAGCGACGACGTGGATCGACGTCGACGCGATTTTTCTCCCGTTCCGACTCGGTGCAAATCTTCCCATCGTCGACGGCCACGAGACCCCGTCGTCGTCGTCGTTCGGCGATCGGCATACGCGGCGTCACGGTGCACGCCTCGGCTCGGCTGCGACGACGACGAGTGATGGAGATGGAGATGGAGATGATGATGATGATGACGATGACGACGACGATTCCCTCCGTGTATACTAATAAGTGCCGTTAGACTGGAGCGCGGAGCCGCGAGGCGCGGAACGGAGACGGGACCGGTGTGGTTCTCGCGTTTAGATTCGGTGCAATAAAGAGACGTGTGCGTGTATAATTTAAGACGAAGCTCCCTCAGTTCCTAAATTGCGTGTAGAGCGAGTAAATTGCGAAAAACAGCGTAAAACGATTGGACGCGCGGCGAACTGGACGAAAGCGTTGCTCTCCGATGGCTGCGACCACCGCGGGTACCGTTACCCCGATTTTTTCGTCCCCGACTTTTCGTCCAGCGCCTGGGGATCCGGGCGAGCAGAGAAAAAGGATCGAGGATGGAAAAAGGAGATAACGGGGCGACCGTGTGTCTGTGTATATATACGTGTATATACGTGTGTCGTTCGCCGCGAGTGCAAACGCGTCGCGGTTTAGCTTTGTCACGCTTTCGTCGAGTTCGCGGGATAACAGAATGGCCGAGGACGAGCGAAACGGACTTTAACGCGGCAGAGAAAACGAAGGACGAGAGCGCGGAATGAGTGGTTGACGAAGAGAAGACGGTGTGTAATGGGACGACGAAGATCGTGCGTGGAACGGGATATAATATACGGAAGGAGAAGAAAACACGGGAAAGAGAGAGAGAGAGAGAGAGAGAGAGAGAGAGAGAGTGAGAGAGCGTGAGAGTGAGACGATGGAGAGGAGACGAGGAGTCCGTAGAATTTACTAGCGTTACTAGTCCCGGTGCAAGCCGAGCGAGGATCGAATCGAGCGGCGTGAACAGATTTATAAGATCGATCCTCTCGTGTGCGTGTAAATATTGCACCGGGGCCCACACCCCTGTTAGCAAGTAAGCCGTAAAACAAGTGAAGAAAAATCTGTGTAAAATACGATATTGTGATAAGATGTGTAAAGAGATGACGAGAGGAAGCCAGAAATCGTCTATATACATATAGGTTAATAACAACACGGCAGACCCCAATTTATCAATTTTATCGAGTACCCTTGTACGAATATAGATATTACGAGGACTAAAATACCTTAATTATGATTACTATTGTATAAAATATGAATAATAACTAATTAATTCAATTTAAATCGTCGATTTCAATCACACACATCAATCGCCTCATTCCGTCACCCTTCTCTAACGATTTCTCGCGCAGCTCTCGTAGATAAACGCGTTACCACGCCAAGGCGCGATGAAACGAGCGTTGCTTAACGGTGTTTCGTGAATTGTCGCGTTACATAGTAACGAGACGATTAATTCCATCGTTTACGAGGAACTGCAACTGCTCAACGGAGACTTTCAATGTCCTGACGGTAGGTTCGAGTTCCTTTTTTCTCTCCCTTTTCTCTTTGTTCACCGGTAGCGGACACCACCTGCCGCTCTAGAGACGCCGTACGCATGCTCTACTTTTATGGATAACTGTACTCCTATCTCGCTTAAAGCCAAGCCACCGATTATTCCGTGTCTTCGACGAGTCTACACGGTGTCTTCTAACGAGCAGTCGCGAAATTTCCGACAGCCTCGACAGTCGCTCCTCGCGCGAAATTCTCTCGATAATCAGGGGTACGCGTAAGTATCGTTCTGCCATAGTTTTCGAGACGCTGTCGCAGATTTTATCGCAAATTCTATCGCAGATTCTATCGTGGAAAGGTCCGAAATTCGAGAAATCCTAGCTCCCAATTTTCATCGAATATCCTGAACTGGAAGATTTCTCTGGAATACGATATGCTTATGGCTAGCCATCGGAGGAGAGCGTGGATCGATGACGTCCCTTCGTAAATCCGTTCGGCTGATCGTAATAATCGTGACGAAGCTTAATAAGCCAATTAGCCATCCGACGATTAAATCGTTCGTTTATCTGGATATTGATTTTCACGAGACAAAGGCCACTCTTCCCGACAAAAGCGGCCATGTTCCACAGCCACTGAGTGGTTCGCTACGCGCGACTACGCTTGCTCGTCCGTGCGGGACCACCGAGCAGAAAAAGGTGTACCGATGTCCCGATGAATGCAGCGTGCGCGCCTCGCCGCGGTTTCCAAACGTAAACTTATACTCGGTGAAAAGGGAAAAAGAAAATGGAGGCTGGCGGATAAGGACGAGGAGAAGGCGGAGAGGAGGAGAGAAAGAGAGCAGCGTGGCACGACAATGCAGCGGCATAAAGTCTCACAAGACGCACGGGAAAGCTTGCAACGGGGGACAAAAACCTATAATGGACACAATGGTCGATGGATCTCGACTGTGGGCCTTGGACTGGAAGGCGCCGGTATTCATTGCGGTGTACCTTCCAAAAGATTACGTCGAGTAGTGCGTTTGCTGCTTTTCCTTCTCCCTGCGCTCTTTTATTCGCTCGGCTATTCCTTTATTTCTCTCGCGCGCCGTGTCAAACATTTAGGACGTTTCGAGCAGGTCTATGAACTTCTCGGTAAATCGTACTTGACCGTCGACTCGTTGCAGACGTTCGTTCATTAGAAACTCATTTGGTTTGGAGGAAAAATTCGCGCGGACGGGACAAGTTGTAAATGCAAATCGCGTTACACTTACGGTATCGTCGGCTCCTTTCGATACGAGGAAACGAGCGCGGGAAAAATATTATTGAAATATGTACAAAGATCTAGAAAGCGTTGGGAAACTCGATCGTTTTCCATCTCGGGTACGTTCGCGCATTTTCGCATGGCTGCGCGAAAGGTAGACGTAGGGTAATTTTCGAGACTCGCGCAGTGGATATCGAGGTAACCCGTAGACGAGCAGGTCTGACGAGTTCATTGCATCTGTGCCACGTTATCGCATTATGTTAAACGCTCTGCCAGCCTGTCGATTCCGTCCATGTATCTAGCTTTATCATCTGTCCGGTGGAACGGATTTATAGCGGCCCGCTCGGATCGTTCGATTTGCATTCGAGAGGTAAAACCGCACAATTAACGGGTGATAACCGAAGTCAGGAAAACCGGCGAGATTACACGCGTCTTTCCATGACACATCCAACGAGACCGCGATACGAGCAACACGATCGACCCCGCGTTTATCCGTCGTCGAACTTCGTTAGGCTAACGAGAGAAGAAAGGAAGGAGCGGATCGTGTGCACGTCAATCGCTAACTACTGCTTCCGTCTAATCAAATCCGTGTCGAAGATCGTGTTCTAGACAAACGGCCGGAGCAACCGTGTAAACGCTCGTTTAATTCAACTTCTCAACATCCCCCTATTCCATTACCCGGCCAACCCTCTCGCGCTTCTTCCACCTCTTTAATTGCATTCCCGAAGATCAGATGCGAATCTAGAGCGGAGAACAAACAGGAGGCGAGCGGAAAATTAAACTGTTAAAGTGCTCGAGAAGTTAAGTATCTCGCATCGCGATCATCTCGGCCTCTACCGAACGTGGAACGTAGGTGAACCAGAGGAACGCGCGCGGACTTGGCGTAGTTTCCCTTTTATCGTGCCCATTGATCGCGCCATCCGTTCTATCCAGATTCCTTCGTTTTCCATAATTATCGAATTTCTTCTATCCCGACGTACCGACCAAATTGGTCCTCGCTATAATCCGCTCGTTCGATCCAGGAAGACCGAAAACCGGTAGAGAACAGTCGCGACGATTGACCGAGAGACGCGATAGATAGAGACACGCGCAGTCACCATTACACGCGTGTACTTGGTGGTTATAACGGAGTAGGAAAGGGAATTAGTATCGTGCCGGGGTCAGGAAGAGCCACGGCCTGCTAAGACGGCGGACGATATCGAATAAACAAACGAACGAGTGGGAGGCGGAGGAAGTGGCGGATATTAAGGTCTTCGTGACGGAACTTGCCTCGTATTATAGCGAGCTAAGCGAGGAGGTCTCCTCGTCTGGTCGAACTAATTCTATTACTTCGTCCCTTCCTTCCACCACCATACGCCTCGTCTATCTAACCGAGGATCGTCGCTGTTAGACCACTCTCTTTCGCTAGATTGTCTTTGGGACGACGCAGCACCGTGACAAGCTCGGTGACAAGCTGCTGATAAATGTGTCCTTCGCTTCAATCTCCACTCCGGGCATTCTATTACGGAAGGGTTGCCGGATGAACTATGAACTTTCGGACTTCCGTCGTTTCCTCGAATTAACCTTAGCTTTACAATTCTCGCGAATCTCCGAGCAAACTGCTGCCAAAAATTTGGCAACTTCGATACGCTAGCGGTGTCCATGGACATCTCTATCGAGAAATTTCTCCAATTAAATATTGAACCAACTACGCGGATATTTTTCCTATCTATCGTGACGTAGACATGCGAAGAAATCGGGGGAAAAAGAAACGAAGAATTTAGACAGTCTAACGGGGATTAAATAAATTTTTATCGATAAATTCCTAAAACCAGAGAAGAAGGAAAAGAAAATCGGAGGAGAAAGAAGCGAAGAATTTAAATTGGCTAACGGGGATTAAATAAATTTTTATCGAGGAATTGCCAAGACCAGAGAAGAAGGAAAAGAAAATCGAAGAAAAAAGAATTTAGATAGGCTAGAAGGGGATTAAATAAATTTTTATCGAGGATTTCCCAAGACGAGATATTCGGGGAAGCAAAGGAAGATTGCTCGTGGACAGGGGTGATGCGTGAAATAAATGGTGATCAAAGTTCGAGTTTGGTGATCGAAAGACTAGAAGGGAGGTCGAACGAAGGGTGGTAGCCGGGAGAAAAAGAGGAAAAGCTAGGGGAGGAAAGTTAGGTGGTCGAAGCAAGAGGTGGTCAGGTTGGGGTGCCAATTTGCGATTCCACGCAGCGAGAAGGGCGTGGCGGGCTCGCGCATAGGGTGGCTCGCTCGTTTGCGCGACATTGTCGGGCAACCCTAACCTTCTGGCTGCCCCTGCCATCTTTCTCTCCACGAACCTCGCTCGCGCTAATCTCGTAATTCTCTTATGTGGATGGAAACCAATGAGTTCGGCCTTGGAGGTCGCGGCTCGAGGAAACGATGTTTACGAGCCGAATGAAAGCGGCTGCGTTGTCTTCGTTGCGTTATCGGGGCTGCTGGAATTATGGGAACAAACGTGACTGGCCATTAGAATCTTCCGACAGCTAATAAACGCGCGATTATAAACTCTACGCCTCGCGGGAGGATCGTATCGTGGGAGGTTCGGTTTTGTTTCTAAAAGGTGTTTCAACTGTTAATTACTCTGTTCCAATTTTATTAATACACGAAACCACTTCATAATCAGCCGTCTCTCTTCGTTAACGTATAACATTAATTCCTAATGAGATGTTCGTTTTCAAGTTCCCATGCACCCATTCCCAAAGCGTTAAACGCTCCATAATCTCGTATTAATTTACAAACGTGCTCGCGGAATATGCCTTAAACGATTAGCCTTAAACATTTCCGAGTACTTTCCTGTTTCTGTTATATAAATACCTCTTCCGGTCTAGCGCGTACATAATCATTCGCAAATGCGACGCTGTAATATAATAATTTCTATATAATAACCTCGCGAGTCCGATAAACGAGTTCAAAAACGACATTACGATCTCGCAATCTTTCATCTCTAGTTCGAATTCGATCTAGTTAATTTCAAAGGCCTCGAATCGATCGGTGAATCGATCCCGATTGTCGAATATCGGGTGGAAGACGCGCACAAAGGGAGTCGCAGTGCCATTGGTATATATAACTCGTGTATAACGGCTTTAAGCGTGGAATTGTCGCGACGCCTTCTGGACATCCAGCTGGCGAAGTTGCACGGCAGAGAGGCACAAAGGTCGAAAGGAAACGAAGGCAGAACTCCGCCCAGCGGATCGTTTGTCTCGCAAGGGGTTGCAGCCACGTGGCGCAAAGACGCACGCGTCCTCGGCGAATTAAAATAAACGAGACAAAATCGGCGACCTGACATAATTCAGCAATCGCGTCGTTGCATCGTGTTTTCTCTTTCGAGTTGACACAATAACTACGACGAATTAACATGGGAGTAGTGGTACATCTAGAAGCGTCGCGAACGGATGAATATTCAATACGAA